TTTTCTAAACCTCTCTCCAACTATTCAAAGGATATATTCCCAAACAGCTCATTTCAAGCAGCAAAGTGCAAAATGAAATTATCATCAAAGTGTTTGAAACTTAAACTCGTTGATTATTAAGTGCAAATAAGTTGGGTCACACGCAAAACTCAATCAGACACGTTCCCGTGGAGCTTTATCCAGCAGAAGACTGGCAGTGCTTGTGTTGGACAAAGTTACTGGAAGAATATTGCACAAAGGATAGAATCTGAACGGGATAAGCTGTTCAGGCCACATCCAAGACTGGACCACAGGGTGTGTGGAGGCCTCAACATGAGCCAAACATGGCCGACTCTGTTCACACGGACACTGGGATCTGCTTCATTTATGGGTTATCGTGGCCAATTATGAATCGCAGGTCTTCAGACACAACAGAATAGTTAAAACACCACACCACCTTCAGTTAGATCCAAAATAAGCGGATGGATTTGACCTGAACACCTTTCCAGTCTCTCTTTAGCCAATTAGCTACAAGAACCAGCGGACGCTGCTGATGTGTTGAGATGGACCCCAGCTCCTGTAGGGGTCAAAGGTCGGTGAGAGCCCAGCCACCAATCAGATTCCACATGTGAGGATGATTTCTTTTCTTTTCTTTGATTAAATCGACACTTGGGATCCGGGGTTTCTGCCCCCAAACTGTGCAAGTCCGTCTGTCTGCAGACTGCAGGAAGCCAGGGATGGATATCCAACTCCCTCACATCCAAGTCGGCCATTTTGATTAGGTCTCCAATAGGAAGATCCCAGGCAAGAAAATCCTAATTGCTTCATCGCAATATAGGCATTAATTTAAAAATAGTGAAATGAATCTTGCAAACACTGAATTAAACTCTATCCATAACATTATGTTAAAATAGTGTATGTTAAATAGGTTTGTACAATAAGTCCAAACAAGTTTAACCAAAAAATATTAATTTCTCACCATTATGAAGGGTGGAGGGTTAGTGTTAGGGTTAGGGTCAGGGTTAGGGTCTGGGTCAGGTTTAGGGTGGAGGGTCAGGGGTCAGGGTTAGAGTTAGGGTTAGTGTGGATGGTTAGGATTAGCTTTAGGGTCAGGGTTAGGGGTCAGGGTCAGGGTTAGGGGTCAGGGTTAGGCTCAGGGTCAGGTTTAGGGTTAGGACATTTTTTTGTCTTTTGATTTCGTATAGACAGTAAAGTTTGGTTTCCACCTCAGAAAGCTGCTAGTCACATGACCTAATCAGAATGGCCGACTGGGATGTGGGAGGAGTTGGACGTCCAGCCGAGGCTCCTGCAGGCTGCAGCCAGAGGTCCAGCCAACAGCAGACCAGCTCGGCCCAGGGGGGGTCGGCATAAGGCTATGGAATGATGACTTCTTGGCAGGGTTATAGTTCTAGTGTCCAGCCCTTTGGCTCTCCGGCGTCAGCAGCAGCAGCAGCGGTCAGTCCTCGGGCTCCTCGCTGTCCGGCCGGGCCTCTGTCCGCTTCTCTTTGTGGCAGGAGAAGATGCGCCTCATCTCGTCCTCGTACCTGATGAAGCTCTCCCCGAAGCGGGCCCAGGCCTTCAGCGGCACGGTGATGGTGTTCCGGTAGGGCTGCCGGACCTCGCTGACCTTCAGGAAGACGCCGTAGCGGTTGGAGCCCACGTCGAAGTAGAAGCGCTTGTTGTCCACGCGGAAGGAGGCGGCGTCCGGCAGCTCGGGGCCGTCGGCCCGGCCCCGGGGGCCAGAACGCTCCGGCTCCTCCAGGTCCTGGTCGCAGTAGTCCTCGATGAGCAGGGACAGCGCGTCCCGGAACTCGATGAGGCCCTGGGCGGGCAGCACGATGGTCTGCTCGATGCCCTGGCCGTAGTAGCCCATGGTGCCGTGGCCCTTGCTGACCGTCTGGCGGATGCGGAGGAAGCGGCCCCTCTGGTTCTCCTTCAGGTCCAGGAAGTACTTCCGGTTGTCCCGCTCGATGAACTCGCTCTTGAGCACGCGGTGGCTGTGCTCGTCGGAGCCCGCGGAGCCCGTGGGGGACGGCGCCGCGCGCTGCTCGTGCGCTTTCCTGCGCGCCTCGTGCCCGCGGGCCTGGCCGTTGCTGGCGCCGTCCTCCGCGTGCGCGGCCGCCCCCCCGCGCAGGCCGATGCGGGCGTAGTAGTCGATGAAGTCCCCCAGCGCGGCGCGCAGCGCGGGCGCGGTGGACATGGACAGGGTCAGCTTGCTCTTGCGCACGTTGTCGTGGCGGCCGCGGCCGATCCACACCTCCGCGATCTTCAGGAAGCGGCCGCGCGCGCTCTGCTTCACGTCCAGGTAGAAGCGCTTCTTCTGGATGTCCACGCGCTTGGAGGCCAGCTCCTGGATGTCCGCGCCCGGCGGCGGGGCCCCGGCGGCGGGGGGCAGCGGCGGGGGGAAGGCGTGCCGCGGCAGCGGGTCGCTGGCCGCCTTGGCCCGGGCCCTGTCCGGCCCCCTGCAGCAGCCGTCGGCCATCATCATCATCGTGTAAGCCCGCAGCGACAGCTACCGCACAAAGCGCTCACTCCATTCCGGTGGCGGAGCCCCCGCGCGCGCGCAGCCGGCTGCAGCCGCAGACAGGATGGCCGGAAAATGGCTGCTGGCTCGGACTCACCGGCTGCTCGCGGTAGAGTGTCCCGGTTCCGCGGCCCCCCCCCCGGTGCACGCGGCGCTAGGGCAGCCGGCGGCCCGCTGCGGAGTCCCGGCGGCCCATCGTGTGCTCGCGCTGCGGCTCCTCGCGAGCGCAGGAAGCGTCGACCTGAGCCGGAGGAATGAACCCGATGAACCCGTTCACCCCCCCTCCCCGTCCCGAAAAAACCCCGCTTAAAGAGACACGACGGCAGCGGAGCTCTGCGGCGCCGCCGCGCGCACGCAGGAGCGGCTTCAGCACACGCTGTCCCCACACTGTCCACAGACCCATCCAACACACTATCCACACACACTGTCCACACATACTGTCCACACACACTGTCCCCACAGACCTGTCCCCACACTGTCCACACAGACCTGTCCCCACACCTGTCCCCACACTGTCCACAGACTGTCCCCACACCTGTCCCCACACTGTCCACAGACTGTCCCCACACTGTCCACACACACTGTCCCCACAGACCAGTCCCCACACACTGTCCACACACACTGTCCCCACACACTGTCCACTGCCCACAGACCTGTCCACACACTGTCCACAGAGCATCCACACAGACCTGTCTACGGAGTGTCATCACACAGTGTCCCCACACAGTGTCCCCAGACGTTTCCCCACAGTGTCCACAGAGTGTCCCCAGACCCGTCGACTGTCCACAGACCTGTCCCCAGAGAGTCCACATACCAGTCCACAGTGTCCCCACAGTGTCGAGCAGACCTGTCCACAGAGTGTCCCCAGTGTGTCAGCAGACTTGTTTCCACACTGTCCCCACAGTGTCCACAAAGTGTCCATCGAGTGTCCACAGACCTGTCCCTAGAGAGTACACACACCTGTCCACAAAGTGTCCCCAGAGAGTCCACATACCAGTCCACAGTGTCCCAGCAGTCAGAAGACCTGTCCCCAGAGTGTCAACAGTGTTCTAAGACCTGTCCACAGTGTCCCCAGAGTTTCCCCACAGTGTCCCCAGTGTCAACAGATCAGTCCACAGTGTCCCCATAGAGTGTCTCCAGAGTGTCCCCAGAGCGTCCACAGACCCGTCCACAGAGTGTCCACACTTCCACACAGTATCCCCTCACTGGTCAACAGAGTGTCCCCAGACCCATCCCCTGAGTGTCTCAAGACCTGTCCCCAGACCGGTCCACAGAGTGCCCCCAGAGCGTCCACAGACCTGCAGAATGTCCAGAGTGTCCCCACTGTGTCCCTTGACTTGTCCACAGACCCATCCCCACAGTGTCCATGTCCCCAGACCTGTCCCCAGTGTCCACAGAGTGTCCCCACACCGGTCCCCGGGCTCACGGCTGAGCGGTGCATGCATGAGGGGCTGCAAGGACTTCATATATAAAACTGATCAGAGACGTGTCCAGAGACGTGCACACTCTGGATTTGTGGCTACATTTAGTCCTAAAACGATTACACCAGGCATCACAAAAGCTGCATTCTTCAGTAAAACATAGTTAAAACGTCAAGAGAAGGTTGACCTTGGCATTTCTTTGTCCAAAACAAATATCTGCACCAGGCTGATAATGTGATGTGTGTCGTTCAAAGAGAGAACACGAGCAGCCTCCAGAGCTGCTGCATCAGGCTGATTGGGGGGAAATATGACCCCAACAAAAGAACAGAAGTGGAAACAGTGGAAGGGTTATGAAAGTCCTCCAGTAAGACAGCTCAAGACTGGCTGTTCCCCGCCAGCTGCACCCAGCCAGTAACTCCAGACTGAGAGACCAGTCCAAGAATATGACAAACCTTCAGAACAAATATGTTTTGCCTGGATTTGGTTGCAAATAGAATACGTACGAGAGGGAAAATAAAAAAACGAAACGGCATAAACTCCACTGTAACAAACAGGACAGGGTTTCCATCCCTTGAGACAAGAAAATAAGCTGAGTGCTGGCTAAATAGAAGAAGTAATGGGGTGCAGACAATTGGATGAAATCTAAATTAAAAGATGCACCTCAGTCAGCTGATGAAGTGCCCACAGGAAGTGATGTCAGCAGAGGGACCAGGAGATGGTAGCTGTTACCTCTACAGGAAATGATGTCAGAGGGACTAGAAGATGGCAGCCATCACCTCTACAGGAAATGTAAGCTGAGGGCCCAGGAGCAGCTTCTTTTATTACTGATATACTATTACTATATTACTATACTATACTAAATACTTCAGAATTTCTTGATTTATTTCATTCATTTTATTTCCCTATTTATTTTTTCTATAAATTTAATCTGTCCTTCCTTTATTTGGACCAGGAGGGCTCAGCAGTTATTTGGCAAAGGTAGGTCCGTAAATAAATATAATTGTACAGGGAGAAGAGTGCCTCCAAATCTACTGGGTACGTTTTACTAAGACATTGAATAATAAATACTTTACATCCCCGAATAAAGAACATGTCACAAGAGGTGCACATGAAGAAGATATACACGGCCACTGCTCAGTTATCCAAGGTAACTAAATTAAAGTTTATTGTATGTGCACGGTACATGTCAGCTTTAAGGAGAATGAACTCATTCCATTCCATTGCAGTATATAATACATATATATGTACACTTGAGCCGAAACTGTAACATCCATGCGGAGTGTGCAGAAGCGAGAGTCCGGTCTAACAGTTTATCATATCGTTTACCAAATGGAGCTGGAAGCTGGCACACCACAGCTTTAAGCTCAAGTTCACATTGCACTTCACAAAGTAAAAAGAGTCCTAGGTTGCATAGACTTGGTTAAAAGCAAATGATGTCAGGAAAGCCTTTCTTTCTGTGTCAAAGAATGAAATGTAGGACATTAAAAAAGGCACACGACCAGTGGCACTGCTGGGAAGTGTTCTTACTGCGGCCGGTAGCCACCCAGCTGGGGCATGTAGCTGGAGACCGCTGCCGTGGGCATCAGGTCAGCCTCCGGGCTGTGTGGAAGCTTTGTCTGCTCCGCGTCCTCCTCGAAGGCGCAGAAGTCCTGCTGATCGTCATCGAGCTGCTTGAAGTCTTTGCAGACGGCGGTGTCTTTCTCCTGTGAGCTCTGGGTGAAGTGGCTCTTTCTGGGGTAGCGCTGGAAGTGGCTGCCCTCCGGCACCAACACGTCAGGGTTCTCCTCCGAGTCCAGCAGGGGCTGCGTGGACTCGGACCGGGAGAAAATGGAGTGCTGGGGCTGAGAGCTGGGGGTCTGACCCTTGTAGCCACTGGAGGCCACCACAGAAGAGTACTGCACGGTGCTGGCTGTGGTGTCCACGATGTCGGCGCCCTCGTCGCTGTCGGACACGCTCTGGCGAGGCGAGGACATGCAGGAGGAGCCGCCGATGCCACTGCTGTGCTCCTCAGACAGATACTTGTCTTTCTTTAGAGACAGGCTGCTCTTGTCCTCCTCAAAGCCATGCTTTGCATCGCACACGCCCACATCCAGCACACTGATCCCAGATAAGCAGTTTTCCTTCGGGGTCTCCGCCTGTGGAGGAGATCAAACCGAAGGGAAGTATCTCAGACAGAAACAGAAACAGATTTCCACATGGTTGTATTTCCACAGCTGGATTTCAACCAGGTCTGGGAACTATTTTTAGTAAACCAATTCAACTACTCGGAAGCTACAGAAGAGCCTTCGTGGTCTCATTCTTGTTCTGCTGACTTTCACTGAACTGCAGTTCCTGTCCGGCCCCTAAATGCTTCCTCTGTGTTTCCAGTTGGACTCATTGTATCCACATCTGTATTTATTAATGTGGCGGTTCACAGTCCCCGGGGGAACCAGGACCTTTCTGCCAGAGGGTTTCTGGTTCGAGTCCCCGGGGAACCAGGACCTTTCTGGGTTGAGTCTGCATGTTCTCCCTGTGTCTGCGTGGGTTCCCTCCGGGTTCTCCGGCTTCCTCCCACCAAGCTAAAACATGCACGTTAAGCTAACCCCTATTGGGGAATGTGACTGTGGGTGGTTGTTTGTCTCTGTGTCCCTATGTGGACCCCACCTCTGGCCCAATGACAGCTGGGATAGGCTCCAGCCCACACATAAGCAGTATGGATAATCAATGAGGTTATCCTTTGTTGATCGTCTTGTGTGTTTTTGAATAGATTCAAAGGACGGCTGTCATGACTGGAATTTGTTCAGAGTTGGTATTTGGAAAGAGTGACAGCCATACTGTTCATTCATTTTTTAAAACATGTATCATTCTCAACTGTTCCTTATCTGCTCTGTTGCTTTTCCTTCATATTCTTTATTTTTCTACCAGGAGCAGAAATAATGTGGTAATGATGCTAATTAGCAGCACATCCAGAATATTTTAAAGATATGGACAGGACTCGGAGCCAAGTTATTAATGTGCATAAAAGTGTAGCCTGATGATAGACCCTGATGTTTCAAAGCAAAATAAGTCTTCACCTTCAAAGGATAGTCAGGAGACCAGTTTCCAATGGTGCTCTCTCCAGGGTCTGGAATCCGAGGCCAGAAATTCTCCTCAATTCTGTCAAAAGAAAAAGACTCCTGAGTAACTTCATGAGAAATGCACTGACACTCCAGATGTTCTGTTTTTTTGTTTGGAATGTAGAGGTAGAAGATTCATTTTAATTGTAGAATCACCCAGTATCCCGATGCTAACTGTATATCTAATTAAAACAGCTTGTCACAGAACTGGGGCATAATAGTACAGAATGGAGGGTGCAGACATGGATTCTCCAAAAGAGGGTCAGCCAACTGTCTGCTTCAGAAGAAAGGTTGAAATAGGAAGCTACACAGAGGTAATGTTGACTGTGAGGTTTAACTTACGCATCTTTTTTGTAAATGCAGAGGAGGAGGACCATGAGAACAAGAAACAGAAAGCCAATGCTTGCTCCCACCACGATGCCCTCAACGGATTCTGTGAAGAGGAAAGCAGAGTTTTTAGAGGACCACAAACACTCCAGAGAGCTTTATCACCACGTACACATTTAACAAAAATACCACTGAGAGTTAGAAAGCTTTGTGATAACAGCTTTTTTTTTAAATCAAATCGCTACCCGTTCTAAGCTTTTCTCAGGTCAGATCAACCAGAGGCCTCTACTATGAAGCAGGATTGGGGTCAGAGAAATAGAGATACAAAGCAATACAGGTGGACTATTAATGAGCACATAAGTCCATCCTTGCTTTGTAAGACCAATGGTGGACTGTTCCACGACAGTCTTTGGGTCACTATTAAAAGGTCTACTCTTAATTCTAAACCTTCAGTTATCAGGAAAAAATCCACTAGTCCTCATCAGGTCTTGAAAGGCCTAGATGATGAATCTGTGATGAATTTGATGTTTTTAATCCTGCTTTTTTATTTTCAAGTCGTATTTTCTGAGAGTCCATCCAAATATAAGTCAAATGAAAAGGAAAGGAAAGGCTTTTCACTCACCATATTTGGGTGTGGTGAATGAGTGCTGGGAGCTGTTTGCTGACCCTCGGATGGTTGAAGCCTGAATCCACACGTCATACCTGGTGTTGGCTGACAGGGACTTCAGAGTGCAGGAGGTGGTGTTAGCTGGCACTGCCACATCTGTGGACAGGTGACACAGTGAAGGGACTGTCAGAAAACCTGTCCCACGAACTGACGGCTCCCCGTAGTAGCAGGAAACGGTACGTACGCATTATTGTGGTGCTATTTCGATAAAATATTTTGTATGCTGTGATGAAGCCCCGTCTGGCTTGCTGTGGAATCTCTTCCCACACCAACTCAGCCTCATAGGGTCCCGGGTTTCCTTTCAGTTTCACAGAGGGCACTTGGGATGGAACTGCAAAAAAACAAAATCATAGAAGCCGATTTTACTGCAGCAGGTTGACTCTGTCTGTCGAAAATAATGCACAAACAAAAACCCCAACCACAGACGCCACAAAGTGTCCAACTTAGTCCTGAATAAAGAGCTGGAAGGACCAAAAATCATAATGTGAACACGGTTTAAGATGCGTTTAATTCGCTTTGAATAAAAAATACTTTATCAATATTAATAAAGGTGGGGTGATGGGTAGAAGTGGCTTGAGTGTAATTTTTTATGGGTTGCAGCTGAACAAACCCACTCTGAACATGCTTCACACCCACAGCCAGTCAACTCTCCTTTCCCTTGTTCGGCCTCAAAGGTTAAAGGTTTTACAGGCAGTAGAATAAATCGGTGTAATCTTAGTCCCCCCTGTGTGGTTTAGTCTGCTGGGCTCTGTAAGATGGCTCCTCACTGCATCAAACTGATGACTCACATCAGAGGCATCACAAAGTGTGTCCTGACACAGGAAACTCACCTTACTGCTGTTTAGTTTAAGGATATCTGTGTTACTCTGCTCATAATGTTTCAGAAAAAACAGAATTTATCACCACAGTCCTCTTGATTTAAATATCTGAATGAGGAACTGACACATTTTAAATTGGAGCAGCAGAATTTGGGCTTTTTTTATCTGAGGACTACTTCACAGATTTTGTAAGTGAGAAGAAGCACATCAGCTGTACTTCAACACGAAGAAAAGTCATAGATCACTTCACGACTTTAAAGGTAAACGTCCACCAGCAGCAAGTATTCCCTAACCCTAAAATAGTGTAACAAAAGAAATTAACTCATTTCTAAAAAAAAATTTAAAGGGGCGCCAACCTACAACCCATTCCAGGAAGCTGGGCTTTTGGGCTGGGGCCCTCAAAAGTGTCCTGGGAGCCTGTGGAGAGGTCACCGGACGGACGTTTGGGTTGTCTATAATGTGGGCTTGCGCCTATGAGGGCTACTGAAGGAGAGAAACAGAGCTGGAGGGACCTGGCTGAGCTCTGGGGCCCGCTGACCGAATGCAATCTGGGTGAGCAGGTCAGAGGTCACATTGGCTGAGAGCTGAGAAACAGACCTACGCAACGAGGTATGACAAGCCTGGGTCGACCAATAGGGGGCGACGCAGCAGATCTTCATTTCCTGTGGGTAAGGACTATGGCAGGACTATGTGAAGACATATCCCCATTAAAAAAGCTGTGGTTTCTTACCTCCCTGCTCCAGAAAGGCCTCCTGCCGGGCTGCTTTCCCCGTCAAGCCAGCGTACATGGGGTACACAGACACATTGTAGAGAACAAAACGCTCCAGGTTCCCTGGATTTGACATGAGATCAGAGGGCAAATGGTCACTTCCTTGAAAAAAAATCGGGGGCTTTTGACATCCATCCATCTTAGCATCCCAGCTCTGGGAGAGAGCAGGAGCTGAAGGTGGGATCTCATGTTACATCCATGTAAAGCTTCTTAATGAGCCTGGAGGAGTTTCAGATTTACCGGCTGAACCCTATGTATGGAGTATGTTCCACATAGGTTTGTGAAAAACAGCGAAAACATTAGCTGGAACAATACTAAACAGCTGTTTCTGAGTCGTCAGAAGGCTGGTTTGTGTTTGTTAATAAAGTCTGACTGAATATCTGACTTTTAGCTGAGCTTCCCTTTAGCGTGGCTTCTTCTGGATGCTAACGCAGCCCCAGCCTCTACTGGAGCTTCTGCTCTATCAGCCTCATAATGGGGAAAATACGGTAATTCTTCTCTATCACACAGGATTCACTGTCTCGCTCATAAACTCTTCCATCAGTAAGGACAGATGGTGGAATGTGACCATTTGCGTTGCCCAATTGCGTCATTACCTTTAATTGCTGCACGGCTGGTGGTTCTGTTTTCTCTTTGCCAGTCTATATTGCTGCCACTGGCCCACTCTATCACATACTCTGACAGAGCTGTGCTGTTGGGGGGTTTCCACTCCACGTACAGCTGCCCGTCATGGGGCCACACCTTCAGTTCTTCCACTGGGGGGCGCTCTGTAATAGTTACACACAAAAATACCTGATGTTAGCATCTGAAACAAGATCGTTCTTTGAGGAACTGGCTCTTTCTAACCCGTTACATCTGGATTTGGAGCAGGTATTTCATTTACGGCTCCGCTTGTGTTTCTGGAACGGCTTAAAACTTCCTGGATTCAGCTTAAGGATAGAAAATGGGCGGCCAGTTAACCGTCCACATGGCCATTCATCCCTCAGATGAAGGGCTCGGTGATCACAACTGATTGTTAAATTAAAAACAAGTGCCCACATGGCTTCTACAAAATGGAGGGGTCAGGCCAAATGGGTGAGCCAAGGGTCATCTTCACCACAGAAATCAAGATATTTGAGTTCTGATCTCATCTTTTCTACAGTAGAGCAAAGTTGAGGGACCAAAAACATCCAGCGCAATTTAAGAAATCTTTGTTTTACGAGGAAAAATGACCAGAAAATCACCAGGCCTTGTTTTCCACTGCTGCTGTTCATTGTGTCTTAATACTGCAGCTTTTGCTTCTCAAAGTCTTCACAATGTCAGCTTTTATCCCCGAGTGAAGGTCGTGCTACAAACCCTGACTTAATGGTTTATGTTACACACTGCAGGAGCGACTAAAGGGGTGGCCCTGCTCCAGACTGTTGCCACGGAAACCTACCATGTGCCTTTGCAGGGATGGCCAAGCATGCCTCAGGAGAAGTTCCCACAGCGTTGGTGGCAGCGACGCACACTTTAACAAACTGCTTGTCAGTTAAGGAGATCCTCTTTAGCTGGAAGATGCTCCTCTGGCTGGAAGTGTGTGTCTGCGACATGTTGACCGGGATGCTCTCCCGCTTCCAACCTTCCTTCTTCAACTTATCCTTATTTATTCTTATGTCAAATCTTGATATCCTCCCATTGCTAAATTGAGGCTCCTAAAGGGGTCAAAGACAAAACAGTGTCAGTAATGCTGTCAGTTTAAAAGGTACAAAAGCTACTAAGTGAACTGCCAGCCCGCGGACACTCTGCAGTTCCTCATGAGGAACTAATTTAGAAAAAATCTAAAATGATTCCAGCAAGTTCCAGGTGAAAAACTCACTGCAGCTCTCCAAAATCCAGAAAGAGCGACACAGATGGGCTTAACAAGGCTGCTATTGTTAGTCTTTTTTAAGCTTTGCATGGTATTGAAATTTGATGGTGAGTTTCTGATTTGTCCTTGAGTTGAATCACCTGATTTGAGCTCAGCTGATGTCTGTTATTGGGAGTTGGGCCGTCCCACAACAATCAAACTGAGCTGCTAACTCACTCCCTGTCCTACTGATGACCTCTGACCTCCGCTTGTGTCACAAAACCCCTGCGGATCCCCCAGAACACAATGGCGCTGCTGGTCTTGGATCCACTCTAAAGGGCACATGTCCCCCCCTGATTTTTGGGTCTGCTCCCAACAACCTGAACTCTCTCTTTTGTGAAGATTAGAAAGGAAACAGAGATGGAAAAGTTTCGCTTTGGAGAAGATCTTTTTTTAGTCCTTTACAAAGCTGTGCAGTAGCCCTACTGATGGCCAAGCCCCAGACAGCTGAATGTTCCAGAATACGTCAAAGAGGGCCCACTGGACTGATCCAAAAAGTCTCAGGTCCCCCCCCTGTTAACTGAGATCACTGGTTACCCCTGGCTGCCCCCACCAGGTCCCTGGTGCCTACAGAGGTCTTCAGGGTCTGGCTTCAGTCTCCCTGAACCCTCTCAGAGGTCCCAGCTGGTCCCTCCGGTCCTCAGCGGGCTGTGGTGCAGCAGAGCTGCTCCACGTTTAGACAATCAGACTGTTTTCAGCTGCTGCTCCAAGATGGAGGAAGGAGCTCACAGCTATAAAAGCCCCAAAACGGCTTTAAACCCACCAAAACAGCTTTAAAGCCCCAAAACAGCTTTAAAGCCACAAAATAACTTTGAAGCCCTCAAAACAGCTTTAAAGCCCCCAAGAAACAGCTTTAATAGACTCAAAAACAGCTCTAAAGCCCCCAAAACAGCTTTAAAAGCCCCCAAAACAGCATTAATAGCCCCACAAACAGCTTTGAAAGCATCAAAACCAGCTTTAAAAGCCCTAAAACAGCTTTAAAGCCCCCAAAACAGCTTTAAAAGCCACCAAAAAACAGATTAAAACCCCCAAAAAACAACTTTAAAGTCCCCACACACAGCTTTAAAAGCCCCCAAACAGCATTATTAGCCACACAAACAGCTTTGAAAGCATCAAAAACAGCTTTAAATGTCCCAAGACAGCTTTAAACCCCCTCAAAAAACAGCTTTAAAGCCCCCAAAACAGCTTTAAAAGCACCAAAAACAGCTTTAATGCCCCAAAAAACATATTTAAAAGCCCCAAAAAACAGCTTTAAAAGCACCAAAAACAGCTTTAAAGCTGATTGTCAGGCTGATGAGAGCTGGAACATTGGCTCCTGCTTTGGGGGTCGCTTTGGATAAAAGTGTCTGCTAAATCCATAATAAACATAAAAATTTCATGAATATATGAGTGATCTGGAATTCCATATTAAGTATAAATAAATTCTGTTTGACACTCAGACATTTTTTGACACTGCTGCTATATAAAGTTGTGTAATAAGTGTTATCACATATTCAGAAAACAGAGCTTTACCTTACAAATGATATCCACATGTTGTTCCCCTGTGCCACTCTCAATAGTGGTTTTCCATAAATCCGGTTTACTTGTTGGTCCTTCAAGAAGAAGAGTAAGAACGGTATTGTTCATTAAAAAACACTAATACAGAAAAGTTTACAAAGTTACATGGTTCAGGTTCAGCAAGTCTTGTGAATCAGCATTTAACAGAAACTAGATCCGGCTGTCTTTCCTAATATTATACTTGAAATGGCCCATTAAAATGTGACAAAGGTCCAATACTCACTGCCCTCTGGCGTTCTCTCGGTAGCATTGGCACTCCAGTCGCTCCAGTAACCCTCATCTTTTTTATAGTTCTTACAGCGAACCTGAATGAGGTAAAGTGTGTCTGGCAGAAGGTTCTGGAGTCTGTAGAACTGTATATAATTGTCAGTATCTGCAATGGGGACCTATAAAATGTAAAACACACCATTAGTGACTGCTTATACAAATGAATATATGTAGAAATCTTTATTATTCGCATGGTCTTACTTACATAGGTCCAACTGTGAGATCCGAGTGTGCAAAATCGGATTTGATACATCAATTTCAAATACACAGATTGGATTGGATGACTCCAATTTATCAGAAGAGAGTTGGGGAAACTCTTCTCTGAAATGGCTTTCACTTCTGAGGGAGGGTTTGTTTTTACTGCAACAACACACCAAACAGACACTTAACAGTGTGAACTGCTCCTGAAACACCACACTCACATTTGTTCACTGACATTAAGATGACTGCATTTTAAACCATGATTCAAGGATTTTAAAAACAGCTGCAGTTTCACTTACTGAAATAGTTGGCATCTTTATTTAGATGCTCAGACTCTACTGTTCCTAATTTATTTCGTGCCTCTACCCAGATCTCCAGTGGCATGAAGTTGGGGTACGTTCCAAGAGAAATGTGTCCACTGTTTGATGTTGTGTTGCTGGAGTTGTGTTCCCTGAGGAGAAGGAAAGGTAACTATGCTTTTAACAATGTTACAAACGCTGCCATTTCTTACACATTTATTTAAATGATTTCAAACACTTGTAACGTTTGATCGTCTATGTGAAGGTAGAATCTATTTATGAACATAAACAAGACAGAAATAATCGTTTTTAAAGCAATTTGAAGCTTATCAAAAGAATATATGAGCGTTAGGTAAATGCTAGTTATTAAATTGATCGCCTTTAACTAAGAAATATTACAAACAGTAACCCCATATTTGAAATAGATTTTCTAGACGTTTATCTTGAGGTGGTTGCAACAGGAACCAGTGTAGCTCCTGGGTTAAATACAGCCGCGTACTCACTGGGAGCTCTTCACGATCAGCGTGTACGTGACAGGGACTTCTTTAGTTTGACGTCCCACTGCTTCCCACATGCAGGTGATTGTTGGAGATATGATAGTTTTCTCCTGCACTGCTATACAAGAAAGATTCCGCGGCTTCTCTGGACGATCTGCAGAAATATGTGAATTTTCCTGGGTCACTGACATTTTTCAGTTCAAATAACTTCATTCAGTTTCTACCTAGTGGCATTTTTAACTACTCTTACAGCAAAAAGTCAACTTAAAATACCATAACCAGCATTAACTGGTAATAATGCTCATATTTAAACAATAGCCAGAGTCAAAGGTAACCAACAGAATTCAAAAGCAGTGAATATTACATTTGTATTTGGGATTTTGTTTTTCAGTGTAAAAAAACAAAACGTACAGCCTTTTTGGAGCCAGATTCCTTGGATGAATTTGCCGTTGTTCAGGATGATATACGGCATCTTTTTCTGGCAGAGACAGTACAGCCATTCGGGTTTCTCCTTCAGGATGGGGATGGTGACATTGAGAGCTGTTCCGTTGATCTTCCTGTAGTGTTCTTTGGATATGGTTGAATCGGACAGATTCCAGTAAAGGTCGTCCACGGTGGCCTCGGCCGTGTTAATTATTATGCACGTGGCCGTGAAATTACTCCCAATCTCCAGGACAGGATTCTGTGGAACCGTCACCAAATGGCTCTCGAACTCTAAAGGAAGGAAAAGGATCAGTCAACCTTCAGTTTCAAACCTAGACAGTAAATCAGACAAAGCACCGGAACATGTTTGTGATGGTGGTTAGATTACAGAGTCTTTAGCAGAATCTGCTTTTGTCCCAAATCTCTACACAGTCTGAGCTCAAAAGCCCTCAGCCCTCTTAACGGACATCCAGAGCTCTTCTGTGGATCTGCTGCTTTTTATTCCGTTCTCTGATGGATCAGCTGAAGATCCAGATACGCTCCTCAGCTCTCCTGATGCTATTCAAAATGCTACTTTGCTACGTTCTGTGTGAACATAACACAGTAGCAACGAACTCCGTGAAACTGAAGGTGCAAATCTGTGTATCGTTTAAGGTTTAAACAGTTAATGTGTATTACACACTTGTAAGTGGTTTTAAGTTTATATTTTCTCCATAAACTGCAGGAAAATTGTGCTTAATGCACAAACTGGCTTAAGAACAACACAAGGAACCAAAACAGGGGTTGAAAAGAATCAGGTAGTTAGTTAGTTAGTTAGTTAGTTAGTTAGTTAGTTAGTTAGTTAGTTAGTTAGTTAG